TTTTGCAGTTTTTGGCCGGGGCTGGGTTTGAACCTGCCACCTCCAGCATATGGGGCCAGCGCCCTACTCCTTTGAGCCACAGGCGCCGCCCTATTCCAGGTATTCTTAAGATAATTATATTGGTCTCCCATTTACCCATCCTCAAGCAGGGCAGCCCTTCCCCCCCATGCCCAATCTATCCACCAAGAAAAAGGGCTATTCCTCCACAATCCACAACACCCACCCAGTGCTCAAAGGCGCCTCCTACTTGGTTCAGTTCTCTGCTGTCCCATGTCTAGAGTCATTCTCTCTGTCTCTCACAAACCCACAGGGAGTCCTTGCTATACAACCTTCAATCATACTACTGCACACCAAGGATTAAGTGAATAAACAACATAAAAGCCCCTAACATAAGGCCTGGTATACAACAGGCACTCAATACATGTTTGAAAATGAAGGAAAAGAAGGAAGGACCCTTGCCTCTTCATTCCTTGTCTGAGCCTTAGAAGTTTTAATCTCTTGTTTCTCCCTCTCTCCTCCTCCTAATGGAGGAGATTTTCTTTTAATTTGAGCTTAGACTGTGAGGGTCTCCTCTGGAGGCCAGAAGGTCAACCCAAACCTTCCCTTCATTGTCAGTCAGCCCAGATCTCAGTCACTTTTGGGAAAGAAAGATGGAGCCCATGGCTGAGGGCATGTGGCTGCCACTAAAAAGCTCAAAGGCAGATACAGTCTCCCTTCCTCTCCACTTTGTCTCCCAGGCTGAAAGATGAGGAAATGAGTGATGTACACGAAGGACCAAGGTGATGCCAAAGTCTGATCTGTGGCTCCCCCTGCTCCCAGCAGCAGCAGGGCCTAGCCAAGCAAGTCCTGAGCTCTCAGCTACTATCAAGTATGTCCAAACCAAGACCTCTGGGCGAGTCCAGGGTGCTCAGAGTCATCTCTGTTCCAGCGGCAATGGCAGCAACCCTGCCCCAAGATGGTGATACCACTGTCCAGACTGTACAGTGACCAGAGGGCCCCTGGAAGGTTCTGCTGGGATTCAAGTCACCTGTGGCTCAGCCCTGGCCAGCAGGGTGCAGAGTTATTGCATGTGCAGGGCACTGTGACCTGGGGGATGAACTATAAGGCTGAGAAATGAGGGAGTAAATGGATCCTGGCCCTAGAACTGGGAAGAGGGCTTGGGATGGTCTCAGCAAGGTCCTGTTCCTTTATGAGCTTCCTGGGATGATGTGAAGATAGAAGGCTGAGGAGGAAGGTAGCCAAATGGAGACACTAATACCAAAGCCAGAAACAACACAGAAAAACATGGCTGAATACATGAAGGCACTTAATAACTGTTTGCTTAATGAGTGAATATGACATGGAGGCAAAGGGGGGGGGATGCTGGTGAAACAGAAGAGGGGTGCTAAGAGCCATGGGGAACAAGATCAGGCTGGGGACCCTGAGACCCAGGCATCCTGGACACCAGCCTGCCCCCTACCCAGCCACACCTGTCAGGCCAGGAGCAAGAGAGACAAGCAGAAAGCCAGGGAGGGGAGCTATGCAAACAGACGGGCATTTGTGCAAGTGAACAATAGCTGTGCCAGGACTCCCTGCCCTCCTGGCACAGGGCAGGCCGGAGGAGTTGGGAGGGGGACAGCTGCTGCCTGCGGCCTCCCCCCCTCCCCCAAGGAGACATAAACAAACCAACCCAGAAAGA